CTTATTTTACTGGAAATATGGTCTTAGACCATAATTGCAGCAGCATATGCTAAACAGAAGTACTCCTTCACAAGAAACTCTGCACGTCCAATTACATGTAGTTTCTTCCTATTTTGGTTTCCAAGACTTGGTGTGCAAAGGGTATGACTTGTTACATGGTAGAACTTTTGGTTAGAGGGCCTGCAACGTGGTTGCCACCGTATAACAACTTCCAGTTCCTGAGGACTGAATTGCATCTAATGGAGCCATGGCTATGAGTCCTTACTAGAGAGGAATTAAACTATATAGCTCGTGACTTTTTCATGTGCAACTCTTACTTTTCATTTCTGCAATTAATGGTTTTTTTTTTTGGAGTGAAGAGAGACAGGTTCAACTAGATCCTATGGATCAATTGGAACTGAATTACCATCAAATCAGACGGGTGCGTTAAGCACCTGCTAGATTTAGAAGAAGTCATATGTTAAATATCATTTGATAGGAGACAAGATTCGAAACTTTTGACTTCTCACCCCACAAAAACACTTAAGGCCTTTGTGGTGGCTACCAACTCAATAGATGGTTATTTCTGCAATTATTGTTTAGTGGAGGAATATTAACCAGATTGGCTAAGAGGAGCTAGAACAATTACTGCTCAAGTAAAGAATAAGGTGGATTGATCATTGAAATATTATTACATGTCAATAGTAGATGAATAACCTCTTTTTCTGACTAAGTACAAAATTAGGTGCCATCTCTGGAAGAATGTTTGCAGTAACATTACAGAATATGAAAACAGAGAATGAGTTGTGAACAAAACCATCTAGTCATGGCTTGGCTTTAGATGAAAGACTAGAATCAGTCAAACCCAAAAGTTGGTTTAGTTATCTCTAAATTAGTTAGGTAAACTTCACTCTCATTGTATGGACCATATCCACATTGGACCTAACTGGCAAGGAAGTTTTAATGGAAGACAGAAATTTTCTTCTCATTAAATTCTAATACACCATATTCTCATTTGTTTGGCCTTTGACAACATTTTGGATAGCAAATTTTTTTAAATAATATTTTACTTGCATAATAAACACATTCTCTAATCCACTTTTTTTTTTTCAATCACCTTTTTATCTCGTATACGTGACATCACAAAAAGTGCTACTGGAATTATTTAAAATAATACTCTATCCAAACACACTCGTTGATTCCTAGTCAAAGTCTTCGTCTCTTCTTTATCCACAGGGAGAGGAAATGAGAGATTTATTAGATCGATTGGGACCAATTCTAAACTTGTTTCATAGTATCTGTTGCTGAGAGACGTATGTAAAATGAAAGCATTTCATCTAGACCGGAACAAGTTGGGTGCATTTCATAAACTTCCAACTTGAAAATTGCCATTTTGTCGACTCATCAAACAGTAGTTATCAAGAAGAAGACATGTAATCAAGATGAGATTTTCCTAGAAGAACTATTTGATGTATAACACAAGAAAATTGCATCCCTGACAGGCGCAATTCATTCTATAAATTCCAGGCTTACGGCAATTGAAATGTCAATATGGGATGCGAATATTCTATACGAAAGTAGCAGTTAAACATAGATATCGACAGAAACTATGGAAGCCTTCACACTTTTAAGGATTTCCTAGTCCAGAGGTCTTTATCACTACATGCCAAACATGTATGAATCCATGTATGAATCCAAGAATTAAGTTAAGGCTAAGCCACTCCTAAAGTCCTTTAAGCAGTAAGAATATGTACGTGTTGAAGTTAAATCTCACGAGTGGTGCGGGTTATTATTGAAAACAATTAGTTTTGATAGTGTGAAAAGTCATACTTAATTCATTATTTCATGAATTAGTGAATTATGTTTTGTGGAAAACACAAGTCTAGGAAGGTTGTGGAGTATGGCAGTTTTGCAGACTTTGATAACTTTGTTTAGTTGAAAACGATAACATTCTCATTGCCATCCAGAAGTTGAACACTTCATGTGACCATTATCCGTCTGACTTGGCTAAAGATGTTGTGTGTTTCCCCGATTAACTCTTTCTAATAATTTTGCTGCCATCAATATTTTTTTTTTAAGTTTTTTTCTTGGCTCTTAACGACAACATTATATTAACTTTGATAATTTCTTATATGAGGATTTGAACAAATAGAATAAAAGTGTACCGTAGAAAATTACCATTATGCTATTGTCATTGTTGATGGTACAAAGTAAGTACGTTAGGAGGAAAAAAAAAAAATCGGCTCATTACCACATGATACAGAAAAATCCGAAAATAAAAATGAAAAATAAAGGCGTATATAATCTAGTACTTTTACTATTTAAACGAGTATAAATAAACTAGAACTTACAAATACTTAATAGTATTTACAAGCAATACCAAACAACAGTATCATTGTAAATTTTCAAATTTTCACTCTTCATATTTAACTAAACATTATTTGATTATGATCATGCTATTTGTTACTTTTACTATTGATAATCGATTAATCCTAATTAAGTTCTAATTTGTTGTTTTGCTAAATCTGCAGGTCACATGCAAAGATTAGTTGAAAATATGGTAGACTAATTAAGCTGATTGGAGCACGCAGAACTAAAATATGCTTGGTGATACTACGAGCCAAAATCAAATTTTTTCTCATTTGCTTGCTAAATTAAGATAGCTCTAACCTGGGAAAAAAAAAAAAGAAAAGAGAAACTTAGGTAGCTGTATTTATTTGGTTACGATGGTCTAAGTTAATCTAATTCCAAGCAATTTACATAATGTACCTATGCTTGCTAAATTAAGACAACACATGAAGTCTATCGATCCTTATTCCTTTTATACACTTGAATCCTCAATCCAGTTAGAAACTGATTGGGTACTTTCCCTTCTTATTTGGAAGAAAGATCCCAAAGTGATTCTCATATTCTGGAATCTTTTGATCTTCATCAAACAAATTAAAAATGTAAGTTTCAATTGCTTTTCCAGGCCTTCTTGGGGTTCCAGAACTCCCATTGACATGCTTAATCAGGTTATTGTTGTAAGTCCTGGCATTGTGAATTGATGTAGCTTGTCCTCCTCCATCTGATGGCCAGCCTGTCTCTGATACAACAATTTCGACAGATGACCCTCCGACCCCTTCGATGGCCGAGTATATTGCATCCAAGATAACATCAAAAAGATTTTGATACTTTACACCATCTGGTAGGGTAATGCCCGAAGCAGTAAAAAGAGCAAAGTCAAGAGCTACGCTCTCGGGATTGTTTATGTAGACATAGTACAGATGCACGTTAACGAGTAATGGGGCGCCTTTGCTAGCTAAGAACTGAACTATGGGATTGATAAACATTTGGACTTGAGGTTGGAAAGTGCCAGCTGATGGAGGAAAACTAATTCCAATTAGTCCAGTTTCAACAGCAGTGGAAACTTTGATCTGGTTTCCTAGCCCAGCTGCAGAAATTGCGTTGAAGATGTTTCGGATGGCAGGGAGAACAAAGTCTGGGCACCCAGCCATGCATTTTAGTGGGCTGATTTCATTTCCAACTGCAATGTACCTGAATTTGACATTAGGATAATTGATGACATTGTTTTTGACCCAATTATTTGCATTATCTTGGCTTGCAGCAACATTCTGAAGATCAGTGTTGGGAACCCCAAGAATGACTTCAATATTTGAACCTGCTAGGGCTTGAAGTGTGGATTGATCAGGATCGTAAATTCGCATTCTTTTGATGTTGTTCTGTTTGCAAAGGGCTACAACATCTGCGGGAGATGGAAGTCCGCTCCCAAGCCTTCCATAACAAACTCCTGTTTGAGCCCCTGCATCAAATTTCATATGCACAATGATTTGATTGACCTGATTAAGCTCATTCTGCAAACCAGGGCTGATTATGTAACAAAGCTTTACATTCATTTTGTAGGATAAACTGATAATGAATACCTCCACATTTCCCCTCTTTTTCTGAACAAGTAGAGAAACCACTTACTTATTAATTGGTGAAAGTCATTTGACAACTGACTACAGTATGGCTTACCAGCCCCAGTAATTGCTAGTGTCACCAGGTCTGATTTTAGGCTTTTCATATGCCATTTACAAAACTTTTGATCTATAATTCTGCAAACACTCTGCATATCAAGATTTTAGATTTTAGAGGCTACATTGCATTGTAATTCAGGATAGAGAGGAAAACCTGTATAATCAAATGTTGCAAGTAACAGCAGCCCAATAACAAACATAGTGGCCGTGAATTCAGAATTGTTGTTTTTCACCAGCCATGGATAATGAAACAAGCAATATTCCAGTACTACTTGATGAGCTACAAATTGAGCACCCCTTTTACAGAAAGGGTATGAAGGAAGATGCATAGAAAAGTTAGAATCTAACTTGATGACTTGATCAGTCTTCTGCACCGCAGGTCAATCACTCTGTGGAAACACGGCTTAAACCAACAAAACACGGTAACAGAAAATGAGTTGTGAACAAAACCAAAAAGGATGATTATTCAAAATAGTTCTGGTCATGGCTTGGCTTTGAGGGAAAGACTAGAATCAGTCAAACCAAATAATTGGTCAACTCTGAATTAGCTAGGCAAACTTCACTTTCATGTATTATGTATGGCCTGTATCCAAATTGGACGTAACGGGCATGGAAGTTTTAATGGAAGAAAGAAATTTTCGCAATTCATTAAATTCTAACATGCCACATTCTCATTTCTTTGGCCTTTGATAACATTGACTCGAAGTCAAAGTCTTCGTCTCTTCCTTTTTCCACAGAGAGAGAGAGAGAGAGAGAGATTTATTAGACCGATTAGGATCAAATTCTAAACTTGTTTCATATTATCTGTTGCTGAGAGATGTATGTAAAATGAAAGCATTTCGTCTCGACCGGAACTAGTTAGATGCATTTCATAAACTTCCGACTTGAAAATTGACATTTTGTCGATTCATCAAACAGTAGTTATCAAGAAGAAGACGTGTAATCAAGATGAGAATTTCCTAGAAGAACTATTTGATGTAATAACACAAGAAAATTGCATCCATGATAGGTGCAATTCGTGCTATGAATTCCGGGCTTTCTGTCGATAATTATTGTTCAGTATATAGATGAAGTATGGCGTGATAAAAATCCTTGCTTGCCATCTGACCCCTTCAGGAAAGCTCAAGCCAGGTTCCGGGCAATGTTTTTAAACCCGGACCGGAAAGTGAATCGGAAAATCTTTTAGTTCATAGCTTGACTTGTTCAATCGGTTCGATTCCGGTTCAAAGATTTAATAATTTTTTTATTCATTTTAGTATTAACAATTTTGAATAAACTAAAATATTTATTTTAAAAAATAAATACTTAATAAAAATCGGTTGAACCTCTCGATTTTGACCGGTTCAACCAGTTCTTGATCTATTTTGACCAATTCAATCAATTCTTTGGGTTTCTAATTGAATCGGATCGAAGGCATAACCGGTTCGTGGTTTAACCGATCGAACTGGCCGATCCTGTCCGATTTTCAAAACATTGGTTTTGGGCTGACTTTGTTGATAAAAAGGTACCAAGGTCAATTTATTATTGCTCACTCATAAATATTTTTGGGAAAATCGTTCAAAACGTCCCTCACATTTTGTAAAATGATTTTTTTCGTCCCTTACTTTTAAAAGTGTACTTTTACGTCCCTTACAAATTCATATTGATTAAATTTAATCCCTATCTAGGTTTCCGACTAGTTTTTTGTAGGAATCCACTACGTGCCTTGCATGTGATCATTTTTAAGAGCAAAATTGTCAAATCAAAATTTATATAATTTAATTTATAGTCTCTCACATTTTATAAAATGAATTTTTTTTATCCCTCACATTTCACAAAGTGAATTGTTTCGTCCCTCACATTTCACAAAATGAATTTTTTCATCCCCCATATTTTACAAAATAAAAATTTTCATTTTTCATTGTTCATGTGTATGAATAACTTTTTTTAAAACTAATTTGTATATCTATTTGATCTCACATGGACAATACGAATAGCATGTAATATATCTCTATTTAATTTTCGCCTAAACATACTATTTATGTGAAATTAAAATAGATATATACAGGGGTTTAAAAAAATTATTAGTTTTTTACTCATGTTCATTCCTTTTACTCGAAATTGAAAACAAAGAAAACATTTAATTCTAAACATTATCAAGTGTTTATATCGAATTAAATTTAGACAGAAAAAATAAACAAAGGAAAAGTATAACAAAAAGAAGTAAGTAATTGACACTTTCAAATTTTAAAATAATCATAAGGTAAGAAATTCAACTATTGGTCTTAAAGGTAGCGAATAAAAATTTCAAATTTAAACTGCAATTTGATAACATGACTATGGAATTCGAATTAACACCGATTAATTAGATACTCTTATTAAACAACTCAATAAATGAATTATTACTAAAATAGAAAAGATTACAAATATTGAATAGATTCACATGGTGAAATCATATATATATATATATATATATATATATATATATATATATATATATATAGGTTTAAAACAAAATTATTAGATTTAAACCCATGTATATATCGATCTGTTTAGGTGAAATCAAATAGAGATATATTACATATTACTTGTACTATTTAGATGGAATCAAATAGATATATTCATGAATTTAAAAAAATAAAAATTATTCGTACATGTGGTCAATGAGAGATAAAAAAATTCATTTTGAGAAATCTGAGGGATGAAAAAATTTATTTTGTAAAATGTAAGGGACGAAACAATTCATTTTGTGAAATGTAAGGGACTATAGATGGATTATGTAAATTTTGATTTGATAATTTTGCCCCTAAAAAATGATCACATGCTGTAAAATGTAAGGGACGAAACAATTCATTTTGTGAAATGTAAGGGACTATAGATGGATTATGTAAATTTTGATTTGATAATTTTGCCCCTAAAAAATGATCACATGCAAGGCATGTGATGAATTCCGGCCAAAAACTAGTCGAAAACCTAGATAAGGACCAAATTTGACCAATGTGAATTTGTAAGAGACGTAAAAATACACTTTTAAAAGTAAGGGACGAAAAAAGTCATTTTACAAAATGTGAGAGACGTTTTGAACGATTTTTCCAATATTTTTTGTGAGCTTCAATGTAGATTTAATTTGTTTCTGTGTTTTTATTGTTTGACTTAACCTTGTTTGGATTATCATTTTTTTTCAAAAAATTTTTACATTTTTCAATTATCTTTTTACCATATATATATCAAATCGCTATAATATATTTTTCTACAAAAACTGCAAAAGATAGCAATCCGTCACTTTCGTTTCAAATAGATAATGTTATGCTCTAAACAATTAACATCTATTACTGCTGGTGTTATTAAATTAAATTTTGAACTGTTTGACGCAGGTTGTTACTGTAGGAAGAAAAACTTGGGCTACAAAGGGAGAAGAGCTGGAGGCAGCCAAGATGGAATTCATAGAGACCTACAAAATTTTGGAAGGAGAACTTGGAGACAAGCCTTACTTTGGAGGTGAAAACTTTGGGTACTTAGATGTAGCTCTAATACCTTTCTACAGTTGGTTTTATGCCTACGAGATTTTTGGAAATTTCAACATAGAGACGCAGTGCCCCAAGATCGTGGCATGGGCTAAAAGGTGCATGAAAAGGGCGAGTGTGTCAAAGTCCCTTGCTGATTTTCATAAGGTTCATGAGTATGCTTTGAAGTTGAGGAAGAAACATGGGATTGATTAAGAAACAAAAGTACCAATTTCGTTTCTCATGACTAAAAAAATCCTTTGTGTAGTTTATGTTGCAAATAAGTCCAGAGTGAACGCTCTGTTTATTACTGGCAAAACAAAAATAATTTGTATATGTTTCAATTGGGAATGAAAATTGTAGGGGATTTATCTTGCTGTGGGAGTGTGATTGTATAATTTTACAACTATGAAATTAGTGAAAACATGTATTAAAGGAATTCGTTTCCTCTTTTCTTTTCTCTTTCGAGTTTTGCATAGCTGATTCCTCTACTTGTTGTATGTATAAAGTAGTTCAAAATATTCTTTCACCTAATTAGTCCTTGGCCAATGTTTCAAAATAATAGAAATTGCTGCTGACAAATCAGAAAGAATTTACTAGTTCTTCCATAGATGCATCAAATTAAGCGCAAAAATGTAATTGGGATTACGGATTACAAACACAAAATGGCATAGTAATATTAAAAAAAAAACGTTGAACAATGACATATTTGAGCATATTCTTTTTTATTGTCACAGGACAAAGTTCCAACAACCCTTAATTCTTCTTCACATTTAGTCAAGTCCAAAAACCTTCTTAAATCCCAAAATGGCTTCATAGAGCTTCTTGGGTTCAGGAAGAGACTTGGAGACACTATCCCTTTCCATGCATCTCTTAGCCCATGCCACCAGCTTTGGGCACTCAGTCGCCGCATTAAAGTTGCAGATAATCTCATAGGTATGTAACCAACTGCAGAGTCCAATGACAGCAACGTCAAGATACCCGAACTTGTCACCCCCAAAATAAGGTTTGTCTCCAAGGGCTTCCTCCTCCAGCGTCTTAATGGAGTTTGTCAAGCCAATCTTTGCTGCTTCTGGCTCTTCTCCTTTTCTTGACCAGGTGACTTGACGACCGTATTCATAAACCTGCAATTGGAGTACATTATATCTCATCATCTTAAGGCATCTTTCCCACAAGTGTGTACATGGATACACAACAAATAATCTCAATTGGAATTTTAACCCCTAAATCTAGACGTGTGATGTATATTTATACCTGCTAATGCATACACTGTCAGCGCAGAAAAGATTAAGACTCAATTTCATCAACATGGCAGGAATGATATTTGTGGCAATGTTTAAATTAGCTGAAAGAGATTTTGCCGATGATAGGATGCATGCTTACCTTTTTGTCAAGAAAATCAGCCCAAAACCTGGCTTGAGCTCTCTCATAAGGATCAGAAGGCAAGAGTGAAGCCTTACCTTTCCACACCTCATCAATGTATTCCACTGCAATGAGGGATTCACAAACGGGTTTTCCATCGTGAATCAGAACCGGGATTGTCTTGTGAATTGGATTCATCCTCAAGAGCAACTCACTTTTGTTGCCAATTAGATCCTCTTGTTTGTGCTCGTACTTGATTTGTTTTTCTTCTAGTGCAACTCTTGCCCTCATGCCATACATGCTAGTCCAAAAGTCTAAAAGAATTACCTCCTCACTTGCCTCACCCATTCTTGCAAATTCACCGCAAATTTTATCAAGTAGACTGGATAATAGTGAGTATATATATATATAGTGGAAATGGACAATTGAGCATTTAAACCCGAACTGGCGATTACATTATTGTTATTACTATTTGCGAGCCATTTGATCAGGTAACATGCATGCCGTCCTCAGTCTTGACCATGCCACCTTGTATATTCTAGAACTGAGTAGTTATCCATGTATAATCTAATACAGCTCCATCAAGCCTCGTGAAGTTGTCCTTTCAGTTCACATTTGGAACTAAAGCTAAAAATGCCAAAAAGAACTTACAGAATTTTTCCCTCTTAGAAAAGTGCATTTAAGAAATGCTTGTGTTTAGTAGTGTCATCCTCATCAATCATCATCCCCTAAATCAATGTTAGACTATCAATCTAATCAAAAATATTTTCACCATGCAACTCGCTAATGAGTAAAAATCGAAAATTTTTGAATATTTTGAAGTGTATCGTTTAAAAATTTTGAGAAATTATTGTAACTAAAATTGTTAAAAAAAGCTTGTAGCAGGCAAATTTTTTGAGAAGTTTTTTTGGTGAAAGTTGAATTCAGTATTCTCATGTCAGTTCAATGTACAAGACTAATTTTACGTACAGGAAATAATAAACTCAGCAGTCAACATCACTATATTGGCTATTTTGGTACTCCATCTTTGACTACTTCAGTTTTGAGGGTCTCGGATGGCATGGAACATCACGTCCGATTACTAAACTCAAGTTTACAAGTTCCAATAGTTGTTCTTGGTTTGTTTCGGTATCATAATCAGATTAGCTAAGTCTTGTTGCTTGGACTTTTTATTTAGTAGTGCTCTACGGCTTTCAAGAACAAGGGTAAATTTACACATAACTCTCGCTGTGGTTTTGAATAATGTAAGATAATTCTCTTAAACCTTCAAAATAGTGATATAACCCCTCTGTAGTTCTATGTAAAGTAAAAAATGATGAAAAGCATCAACGATTATGGCGATTGAATAAACACGGTAAAACAAATAATACGTGAGACAAAATTATAATACCCAGTAAACTCTCTGTGATTTTTCTATTTATTTCCATAACCCTTCAATAGTTTTGTACAAAGTGGTTAGGTCAATGTCCGACTCAATGTTTAAACGAGGACAATATTGATATTTCAACTATTAACATCGTAAAGGTTATATTCTATTAAATTTTTACATCGTATTTATATAATACAGCTGAAGTTTGACAAAAAAAAAAAAAAAAAACTATTAACATCGTAAAGGTTATATTCTATTAAATTTTTACTTTATATGAAACTAGAGGGGATAAAATAGATTATTTTTAAAACGTTATGAGCGTCGTCATGTGGTGGCGATGGACCTATCACATATAGAAAAATAATTTGCCTCTCCCCTTTCTTGCTGCAAACATTTCGTCTGAAAAAATTTCAACACTGCACGAAGCGAGTGTTCGATCCTTGCGGCGGCGTGACTTAGACTGCCTATTTATTTTATGATGCGCTTGTCAGCTGTCACAATAAAAGGCGCATATAATCTAGTACCTTTACTATTTAAACAAATATAAACAAATTAGAATTTACAACTACTCAATATTTACAAGTGATACCAAACAAACAAACAAAAAAAACTAGTTTAATTGTATATTTTTAAATTTTCAGTATTCATATTTAACTAAACATTATTTTTATGATGGTTTCTTTTTCTTTTTTTTTTTTATGATGATCTTGCTATTTGACACTTTTACTGTCAATAATGGATCAATCCTAAGTTCTAATTTGGCAACTTGCTATATCTGCATGTCACATACAAATATGAGAAACCATGAACTGGAAAGATTAGTTGAACATACGGTAGACTAATTAAGCTGACTGAAACACGCAGAACTAGATTATGACTGCTGATACTACGAACCAAAACCTTTTTTTTTTTTTTTTTCTCATTTGCTTGCTAAATTTTGATAGCTCTAACCTGAAACAAAAGAAAAAGGAGAAAAACTTAGGTAGCTGGATGTTTGTTTGGTTATGATCATATGATGGTCTAGGTTAATCCATTCCAAGCAATTTTCGTAATTAACCTATGTTTAGAAACTAAACATGTAGTAAAACATTTTAGCAACTACCAACATTTAATTGCTCCAGCAGCAAAAAATTTGTGTTTGTTCACACATACGTTGCCAAGGCTAGAAATTATTAGAGCAACCCTTATTTGAGATGACAATTTATAAAAGCAGGAGAGACAGCAGATGGAGTCTATCTGTCCTTATTCCTGTCATACAGTTGATTCCTCAATCTAGTTAGAAACTGATTGGGTACTTTGGCTGCCTATTTGGAAGAAAGAGCCCAAAATGCTTCTCATATTCTGGACTCTTTTGATCTTCATCAAACAAATCAAAAATGTAAGTCTCAATAGCCCTTCCAGGCCTTTTTGGGGTTCCAGAATTCCCATTGACATGCTTGATCAGGTTATTGTTGTAAGTCCTGGCATTGTCTATTGATGTCGCTTGTCCTCCAGCTGATGGCCAACCAGTCTCCGATACAACAATTTGGACTGATGAGCCTCCAGCCTTTTCGAGCGCCGAGTATGTTGCATCCACGAGAGCATCAAAAAGATTTTGATACTTCACACCATCTGGTGTGGTGATGCCCGAAGATGTAAAAAGAGCATATTCAAGAGCTATGCTCTTGGGATTGCCTGTGTAGGAAAAGTATGGATATACATTAACGAGTAATGGGGCACCGTTGCCAGCTAAGAACTGAACAATGGGCTTGATAAAATTTTGAGCTTGAGGTTGGAAAGTGCCAGCTGATGGAGGATAACCATTTGCAACTAGTCCAGTTTCAATAGCAGTGGAAACTTTGATCTGGTTTCTGAGCCCCGCTGCAGAAACTGCGTTGAAGATGTTTCTGATGGCAGGGAGAAGAAAGTTTGTGTACTGAGCCGTCCCTGTTAGTGGGCTGACTTCATTTCCAACTGCAATGTACCTGAATTTGACGTTGGGATACTTCCTGACGTTGATTTGAACCCAATTATTTGCATTAGCTTGGCTTGCAGCAACATTCTGTAGATCGGTGTTGGGAACCCCAAGAATGACTTCAATGTTTGAACCTCCAAGGGCTTGAAGGGTGGGTTGATGAGGATCATAGATTCGCATTCTTTTGATGTTTCTTTGGTTGCACAGGGCGACAACATCTGCTGGAGATGGAAGATTACTTCCAAGCCTTCCATAACAAACTCCTGTTTGAGCCCCTGCATCAAATTTCATATACATGACCATTAGATTAAAACTATTAAGTTCCTTCTCCAAACAGGGCAGATAATGTAAAAAGGCTTCACATTCATTCTGTAGGATATAAAACTGGTAATGAAAACTTCCACATTTTAACTTTTGCTTGAAAGAGTTAAAAAAAAAAAAAGCACTTGTTGATTAGTGAAAGTCATTTAATGTCTGTCTGACTCTGATCAAAATATGGCTACATTGCATTGCACTTCAGGCCGAAGAGGA